AATTTGATTGCACTGTGGTCTGAGAGACCGCTATGATTTCCATTCTTTTGCATTTGCTGAAGAGTGTTTTACTTTGAATTATGTGATTGATTTTAGAATAAGTGCTCTGTGGTGCTGAGAAGAATGTATATTCTGTTGATTTAAGGTGGAATGTTCTGTAGATGTCTATTAGGTCCACTTAGTCCAGAGCTAAGTTCAAGTCCTGAATATCCTTGTTAATTTTCTGTCTCATTGACCTGTCTAACATTGACAGTGGTGTGTTAGTCTCCCACTATTTTTGTATGGGAGTCTAAGTGTCTTTGTAGGTCTTTAAGAGCTTGCTTTATGAATCTAGCTGCTCCTGTATTGGGTGCATATATATTTAGAATAGTTAGCTCTTCTTTTTGCATTGACCCCTTTATCATTATTTATTGCCCTTCTTTGTCTTTTTTGATCTTTGTTGGTTTAAAGTCTGTTTTATCAGAGACTAGAATTGTAACCCTGCTTTTTTTTTTTTTTTTTTTGCTTTCCATTTGCTTGGTAAATATTCCTGCATCCTTTTATTTTGAGCCTTCGTGTGTCTTTGCAAGTGAGATGGGTCTCCTGAATACAGGACACTGTTGGGTCTTGACTCTTTATCCAATTTGCCAGCCTGTGTCTTTTAATTGGGGCATTTAGCCCTTTTACATTTAAGGTTAATACTGTTATGTGTGAATTTGATCCTGTTATCATGATGCTAGCTGGTTATTTTGCTCATTAGTTGATGCAGTTTCTTCATAGTGTCATTGATCTTTATAGTTTTGTGTGTTTTTGCTGTGGCTGGTACTGGTTTTTCCTTTCCATGTCTAGAGCTTCCTTCAGGAGCTCTTGTAAGACAGGTCTGGTGGTGACAAAATTCCTTAGCATTTGTTTGTCTGGAAAGGATTTTATTTCTCTTTCTCTTATAAAGCTTAGTTTGGCTGGATGTGAAATTCTGGGTTGAAAATTTGTTTATTTATAAATGTTGAATATTGGCCCCCACTCTCTTCTGGTTTTTAGGGTTTCTGCAGAGAGATCTGCTGTTATCTGATGGGTTTCTCTTTGTGGGTAACCTGACCTTTCTCTCTGGCTGCCCTTAACGTGTTTTCCTTCATTTCAGCCTTCGAGAATCTGACAATTATTTGTCTTGGGGCTGCTCTTCTCGTGGAGTATCTTAGTGGTGTTCTGCATATTTCCTGAATTTGAATGTTTGCCTATCTTGCTAGGTTTGGCAATTTCTCCTGGATAATATCCTGAAGTGTGTTTTCCAATGTGGATCCATTCTCCTTGTCACTTTCAGGTACAGCAATCAATCGTAGGTTTGGTCTTTTCACATAGTCCAATATTTATTGGAGGCTTTGTTTATTCCTTTCCACTCTTTTTTCTATAATCTTGCCTTCATGCCTTATTTCAGTAAGTTGATCTTCAATCTCTGATATCCTTTCCTCTGCTTGATCAATTCAGCTATTGATACTTGTGAATGCTTCACAAAGTTCTCTTGCTGTTTTTCAGCTCCATCAGGTCATTTATGTTCCTCTCTATACTGGTTATTCTAGTTAGTATTTCCTGTAACCTCTTATCAAAGTTCTTAGCTTCCTTATATTGGATAGAACATGCTCGTTTAGCTCCGAGAAGTTTTTATTACCCATCTTCTGAAGCCTACTTCTATCAATTTGTCAAACTCATTCTCCGTTCAGTTTTGTGCTTTTGCTGGAGAGGAGTTGCAATCATTTGAAGGAGAAGAGGCATTCTGGTTTTTGGAATTTTCAGCATTTTTGTGCTGGTTTTTTGTCATCTTCGTGGATTTATCTACCTCTGATCTTTGAGGCTGATGATCTTTGGATGGGGTTTTTGTATGGTGGTCCAAAAGGATATTGATGTTGTTGCTCTCCGTTCGTTAGTTTTTCTTCTATGATTTGGGCCCCTCTGCTACAGGTCTGCTGTAGTTTGCTGGAGGTTCACTCCAGAACCTGTTTACCTGGGTATCACCAGTGGAGGCTCCAGAACAGCAAAGATTGCTGCCTGCTCCTTCCTCTGGAAACTTCATCCCCGGGGGGCACGGGCCTGAAGCCAGCTGGAGCTGTTCTGTATGAGGTTTCTTTTGTCCCCTGTTGGGAGGTCTCTTCCATTCAGGAGGCATGGGGGTCCAGGACCTACTTTAGAAGGCAGTCTGACCCTTAGTAGAGCTGTAGTGCTGTGCTGGGAAAATCCTCCTTTTGAGGATCAGCTGCTCTCTTCAGAACCAGCAGGCAGGAAAGTTTAAGTCTGCTGAAGCTGCACCCATAGACGCCCCTTCCTCCAGGTGCTCTGTCCCAGGGAGATGGGAGTTTTATCTATAAGCCCCTGACTGGGGCTTCTGTCTTTCTTTCAGAGATGCCCTGCTCAGTGAGGAGGACTCTAGAGAGGCAGTCTGACCATTGCTGCTTTGCCACACTGTGTTGAGTTCTGCCCGGTTCATCTTCCCCTCTTCTTCTTCTTCTTTTTTTTTTTTTTTTTTTTGAGTTGGACTTGTGTTCTTGTTGCCCAGGCTGGAGTGCAATGGCATGATCTCAGCTCACTGCAACTTCTGGCTCCCAGGTTCAAGAGATTCTGCTGCCTCAGTCTCCCTAGAGTAGCTGGTATTACAGGCATGCACCATCACTCTCAGCTAATTTTTTTTGCATTTATAGTAGAGACAAGGTTACACCATGTTGGTCAGGTGAGTCTTGAACTCCTGAGCTCAGGTGATTAACCCACCTCAGCCTCTTAGAGCACTGGGATTACAGGTATGAGCCGCTGTGCCCAGCCATAAGGAAACATTTTCAAAATTTTTCAAAACTGGAAATTCAAGTCAATATAAATAAATGATTAGTAATTATTTTACCAAAAGTGTTTTTTAGAAGAAGTTAATTTTGTTAAGTGATGAATAGATTATACAAATCTGACCATTTCAGTTACCCTGTAATTTCAGCTGAGCAAATCTCTTTTTCAATGGACTATTAATCAGAAATGGTGTTAGCATAGGTAAAATGGCTGCTGACATCCAACATAAAGGTGACTAGCTCAGTTATTTGCACAGCTGCTTTTTAAAACTTGGGTATGTTTTACGCTGAAATAAACTAGAGAAATAGATGTTATAATTATGCAAACTTCCCTGTTTTCAGGGAAAATGAGTTATATAATGAAGTTGTCTGTATTTTCTAAATTATACTTTTAGAACTGTTATTACATCTACAGAAAAGAGTATATTTAGACCAAGTGTGGTAGCTCACACCCATAATCCTAGCGCTTTGGGAGGCTGAGGTGGGAGAATTGCTTGAGCCCAGGTATTTGAGGCTGCAGTGAGCTATGATCATGCCACTATACTCCACCTTGGGCGAGTGACACAGTGAGACCCCCTCTCTACAGAAAAAAAAATATATATATATTTAGAATGTTTCACATTTTAGGAGAAAAATCTAAAACTATTCTGATTTCCAGAGATTTTGTCAGATGTTGAATAGCTTTAAGTCAATTGAATTTAGAATTATTCTTTTGTTAACATGGTATACACAAGAGCATCATGTGGAATCAGGTATTTTTAGTGAGTCTTTGGGACTTAAGACCTGAAGAAATTAAAATTAAGTATTAAATATCTCTCTGGGCTGGGTACAGTTGGTCATGCCTGTAATCCCAGCACTTTGGAAGGCCGAGGTGGGTGAATCACTTAAGGTCAGGAGTTCGAGACTAGCTTGGCCAACATGGTGAGTCCCCATCTCTACTAAAAATACAAAAATTAGGTGTGCATGGTTGCGCAGGCCTGTAATCCCAGCTACTCTGGAAGCTGAAGCAGGAGAATCATTGGAACCCAGAGGTGGAGGCTACAGTGGACCAAGATCGTGCACCACTGCACTCCAGCGAGACTCTGTCTCAAAAATAAATAAACAGGAACAAACAAACAAACCCATTTGAAAGTGGGCAAAGAAGATGAACAGACACTTTTCAAAGGAAGACATTTATGCGGCCAACAAACATATGAAAAAATGCTCATCATGATTGGTCATTAGAGAAATGCAAATCAAAACCACATTGAGATACCATCTCACGCCAGTTAGAATGGTGATCATTAAAAAATCTGGAGACAACAGATGCTGGAGAGGATGTGGAGAAATAGGAACACTTTTACACTGTTGGTGGGAGTGTAAATTAGTTCAACCATTGTGGAAGACAGTGTGGCGATTCCTCAAGGACATAGAAATAGAAATTCCATCTGACCCAGCAATCCCATTGCTCGGTATATACCCAAAGGATTATAAATCATTCTATCATGAAGACACATGCACACATATGTTCATTGTGGTGCTGTTTACAATAGCAAAGACCTGGAACCAACCCAAATGCCCATCAATGGTAGACTGGACAAAGAAAATGTAACACATCTACACCATGAAATACTATGCAGCCATAAAAAACGACGAGTTCGTGTCCTTTGTGGGGACATGGATGAACCTAGAAACCATCATTCTGAGCAAACTGACACAAGAACAGAAAACCAAACACTGCATATTTTCACTCATAGGCGGTTGATCAACAATGAGAGCACTTGGGCACAGGGAAGGGAACAACACTCACAGGGCTAGGTGGGAGGGTGGAGGGGAGTGGAGGGGAGGGACGGGGGGGTCGGGGGAGGATGGGGAGGGATAACACCGGGAGAAATGCCTGATGTAGGAGATGGGGGGATGGAGTCAACAAACCAACGTGCCATGTATGTACCTATGCAGCAATCCTGCAGGATGTACACATTCACCCCAGAGCCCAAAGTACAATTAAAATAAATAAATCTTTTACTGAAGCATTCAGTAAATGATTCTTATAATAAGTTTCAGGTCATTTTCTTTTGAAAATTCATTTTTTAAAAAGGGCTTTATAATTTTTATTTTTAATAACAACAAAACTGGCTTCCTTTCAATCTTTTCTATTTGTTGGTGTATATAAAAGGAGAATGAATGTTTTGTGTTTATGGTTGTTTAATTACTGTTTTGCAGTACATTATGTTGCCTGCAAGTTGCTCAGTATGTGTGAAGCCTCATTTGCCTCAGAACAAGGTATTCAACGACTCATTATGGTAAGTCTTAATTTAGGAGAAAATGGAGATGCAATGAGATGGTCGCTACTTCTATGAAAATGGTTAAAGTTAGTATGAAACTGGAAGGGGGTTGAATCTTTTAGTGCTATCCTTTTTTGTTGGTGTTCCTTTTATAATGATATATTTACTACAGTTAAAGTTCTCAGAATACTGTGGTTATTACAGTGGTTTAGTGAACCAAATGCTGAACTTACCATTCTGGGTTGATGATTTATTTTTTACTTTTCTCACCTCTCACTTGATAGAGTAACTGTTTCTTCATCTAAGGTAATGGTATTAGTTCTAAATGAGTTTTTCTAATGAAAAATTTGAAACACTAAGTAAATAAGGAAAAGAGTACAGGATTTGAAGCCTGAAGACCTAGGTTAGGTCTGCTGCTTACTAGCTATGTGACATTGGAAGATTACTTAGTTTTCTCATTTGTAAACTGAAAATAGTAATATCTACCTTACAGTGTTACTGAGTTAAAATTAGAGTTTTTGTGAAAAATGCTTTGTAAACTATAAACACATAGTGGTAGAATTTGTTCATGTAAAATTCTATGACAGTAGTCTGATAAATCTTGTATCATATATAATATGATAAAACTGAGTTGAACTCAGGGTTCACCTTGTGTGTTTTCCTTCTTTCAAAGATTGTAGCCACTCCAATGCCTTCACACAGTTATATTTTGTACAGCTTTTAGGGTTGTTTAGAGTGGGATGGTCAGTTTGAATTGAGCTATTCCCTCATGGCTGATAGTGGAAGTCTTCCTCTTATATTTCTATTATTTAAAAGATTAATCTTTTAAATTTTGAGATGGAGTCTTGCTCTGTAGCCCTGGCAGGAATGAAGCGGTGCCATCTGGGCTCACTGCAACCCCCACCTCCTAGGTTCAAGCTATTCTCCTGCCTCAACCTCCTGAGTAGCTGGGATTACAGCGGTGTGCCACCATACCCAGCTCATTTTTGTATTTTTAGTAGAGATAGGGTTTCATCATGTTGGCCAGGCTGGTCTTGAACTCCTGACCTCAGGTGATCCACCTACCGTGGCCTCCCAAAGTGCTGGGATTACAGGCGTGAGCCACTGCACTGGGCCTAACAGATTAATTTTTTAGTTTTATTTCCCCCTTCTCCCAAAATACAAATGTATGTTTATGTCAAATTAAATTGTTCGGAAAATTAATGAAAGTAATAAAACGTGGTTTTCTGCTCCATCGCTCTTTATCTGTTCTTTCTCTTTCTCTCTCTTTTTTTTTTTTTCTTTTTTTTTTTTTTTTTGAGACAGGGTCTCACTCTGTTGCCCAGGCTGGAGTGTAGTAGCATGATCTTCGCTCACCACAGCCTCCACCTCCTGGGTTCAAGCGGTTCTTTTCCCTCAGCCTCCTGAGTAACTGGGATTACAGGCATGTGCCAACATGCCCAGCTAATTTTGTATTTTTTTGTTTGTTTCAGTAGAGACAGAGGTTTCACCATGTTGGCCAGGCTGATCTTGAACTCCTGACCTCAAGTGATCCACCTGCCTCAGCCTCCCAAGGTGCTGGGATTACAGGCGTGAGCCACCACACCCAGCCCTATCTACTCTCTTGCTCTTTAGAGGAAACTACATTTTTTTAAGTGGGAAAATATTTTTCCTAGTATTTAAAAATATTTTATTATGTAAAAGCTCAAACATATATAAAACAGGTAAGATAGTACAATGATTCCCTCTGTTTACCCATCACTCAGCTATAGTAATCATCAACTCATGGCCACTCTTGTTTCTTCTGTATCTTCTTGAATAGCAAACCTCTGGTCCTACTGGATTATTATTATTATTTTTTTTATTTTTTTGAGGTGGAGTCTTGCTCTGTCGCCTAGACTGGAATGCAGTGGCACGATCTCGGCTCACTGCAACCCCTGGCTCCTGGGTTCAAGCGATTCTCCTGCCTCAGCCTCTCGAGTAGCTGGGATTACAGGCATGTGCCACCACACCTGGCTGATTTTTGTATTTCCAGTAGAGACGGGGTTTCACCATGTTGGCCAGGCTGGACACAAACTCCTGATCTCAGGTGATCCACCCACCTTGGCTTCCCAAAGTGATGGGATTACAGGCGTGAGCCACTGCACGTGACCAACTCGCTGGATTATTTTGAAGCAAATCCAAAATGTATAATTTTGCCCATATTTCAAAAAGACAATGTAATTCTTTTCAGCTTGTAAATGCTTTATTTTTTAAAAAATAGAGGATGCTTGGTGGTGTATATGTGGCCATTTGATATTTTTATGACTAAGAGAGTCCAGTCTCTTATAGAGTGTAAATGTACCTCTACACATGCACATTTATTTATTTATTTATATTCTATTTTTCCATAAATTATTGGGGTACAGGTGGTATTTGGTTACATAAGCTCTTTAGTGATGATTTGTGAGATTTTGGTGCACCCATCACCTGAGCAGTATACGCAGCACTATATTTATAGTCTTTTATCTCTTGCCCCACACCCACTCTTCCCTCCAAATCTCCGAAGTCCATTGTATCATTCTTATGTCATTGTGTCCTCATAGCTTAGCTCCCACATATCAGTGAGAACATACAATGTTTGGTTTTCCATTCCTCAGTTATTTCACTTAGAATAATAGTCCCCAGTCTCATCCAGGTCACTGCAAATACTGTTAATTCATTCCTTTATATGGCTGCATAGTATTCCACTGCATATATATACCATTTGGGTTGGTTTTATGATTTTGGAATACAAATGCACATGTGATTTTTATCAAAATTAAGCTTAGTCACTAAAAGAAGATTCGCTGTGTGAACTTTGTTCTGCAGTTTTTTCACTTTTGCCATCAGGCAGTGGAGCACCTGACCTCTCAAGAAGATCTGGATCTAGTCCTTCTGATATCATTTTGTTTCTTATTGCCATCACTGGTATACCCATTTGAACCATTTTGAGATATAAGACATATCTTGAATCTTTGTCTACAGTTAAGATATTTTCTACTGATACTTGATTTTCCTGTGGTCCAGAGTCTTGTATACAGTCCTGCTGTGATTACTCTGATGTGACTTCAGAATGTGATCCATTTGTGACACTAGTGGGACTTAAAGGAGATACTTCAAATGTAACATCATCTAGGCCTGGTATAGATGACAACGTTGCATCTAAAATATTGAGAGTTGTTTCAATTTGCTGGATACAAAGATAAAGGTTTATCAGTTTCTCCTCACTAAATGTAGAAGAGTGGTTGAGGAACTATACAGCGTGCACAACAGTTTGCTTTAGTAAAGCCACCATTCTTTTCTGGTGAATAGCCGGCACCTTGATCAAGTCTATGCCTGACTCCCGGAAGCCCATCTTTATATGTCTCCTCAGCAGTCAGGGGTCCTGGACTCACTCAAACCCCTCCCAGATGGGGCCTGCCCAAACTTGTAATCATGTCCCAGTGCTTCCCCACGTCCCCCAAGACAATGTATTTTTATATTCAGCAAACATAGTTCCCTTTATCACACCTGATAAAACCTAATAAAGATTTCCCCAAATCAAATATCTAGTTATTTCACCCCCTCTCCAATTGGTTTCTTAAAATACCAAAGATAATCCATACTTTGTATTTTGTTAATATGTCTGTTTTAATTAAACTACAAGTTTTCTTCTCTCTTTTTAAAAAACTATGTTGAACAGATTTATTTGTTGAGGAAATGAGGTTGTCCTATAGACTTTTCTAAATTCTGGATTCTGATTCCTCCTCATGGTGTCACTTAATAGTCCATTGTTCCCTCTAACCCTTGTTTTCTGTAAACTGATATTTAGATCTAGAAGCTTGTTCTGATTCAGGTTTGATTTCTGTCAGAATAATTTATAGGCAATATGTTTCTGAATCCTTGGATTCAACCTACCATGGATTGAAAGCATTACCAAAAAATCTGATAAAGATAACAGTAACAATACAATAAAAAAATACAATAGCTAATTCTTTTTTCTTTATTTATTTTTTCTGAGACAGACTCTCACTCTGTTGCCCAAACTGGAGTGCAGTGGCATGATCTCAGTTCACTGCAACCTCCACCTTCCATGCTCAAGCGATTCTTGTGCCTCAGTCTCCCGAGTAGCTGGAACTACAGGCATGCACCACCATGCCCAGCTATTTTTTTGTATTTTTAGTAGAGACCGGGTTTTGCCATGTTGCACAGGCTGGTCTCGAACTCCTGAGCTCAGGCTATCTGCCTGCCTCGGCTTCCCAAAGTGCTAGGGTTATAGGCGTGAGCCACCACACCTGGCCAATAACTAATTCTTGATTTATCAGCTTTATTTATGATCTATTTATTTGCTATTATGATGGATGAGGATTTATCTCATATCATGTTACCTCTCCCATCTCTCTCAGTTTTTGTTATACTATTTTAAATTTATCTGTTGGCTGTCTTTCAAATCTTTAAATTATATATATTTATATATACACACATATATAATTTTTGTATATATGCATATATTTAAAAAGTATACTTTTTTTTTTTTGAGATAGGGTCTCACTCTGTCGCCCAGGCTGGAGTATAGTGGCATGATCTCGGCTCATTGCAACCTTGGCACCCCAGGCTCAAACGGTCCTCCCACCTCAGCTTCCCAAGTAGTGGCGACCACAGGTGCACACCAGCATACCCAGCCAATTTTTTGTATTTTTGGTAGGGATGGGGGTCTCACCATGTTGCCCAGGCTGGTCTTGAACTCCTGAGCTTAAGCAATCCGCCCATCTCGGCCTCCCAAAGTGCTGGGATTACAAGCATGAGCCTCAACACCCGGCCTAAAATAATATACATTTTTTTTTTTTGAGACAGGATCTTGTTTGTCACCCAGGATGGAGTGCAGTGGCATGATCATGGCTCACTGCAGCCTCCGCCTCCCAGGCTCAAGTGAGCTTCCTGCTTCAGCCTCCGCAGTAGCTGGAACCACAGGTGTGCACTAGCATGCCCAAGTAATTTTAAAATTTTTTGTAGAGACAGGGTCTTGCTATGTTGCTCAGGCAGTCTAGAATTCCTGGCCTCAAGTCATCCTTTTACCTCAGCCTCTAAAAGTACTAGGATAATAGGTGTGAGCCACCCCACCATGCTCAGCCCTAAGTAATGTATTTAAACTTTATTTCTTTTTTAAAAATCAAATTTGGAGTTTATCTCTTCACTTGCTACTTTGTGAGGATATTTCCATTCTCTCTACCTCTCTTTCCCTTTAACTTTCCACCTTCTGTCACCTCTCACATTTGCATTTTGGGCTTTGTTGATCCCAAATAATGAAAACTGAAAAGGCTTATTATTGATTGTCACTATTATTTAACTCTGTGGATCATAATTTTATTCTCTGTATGTTTCCATTTGCTAGCTCTCACAATTCTATTTTCTCAGATACTCTGTTTGTTGAGTATGATGTCCTTTCATGGCATTGGTTTCTCTCAATTGTTGGGTAATTCTTGTTCATATTTGATTTGAAATTCTGCGATAATCCTCTATGAATATTGTGTCACACTTTGTACTATAACCTGAATCCAGTGACTGATGAAGAGGTAGGACTGGATGTTTTTCATTATGTGTTGTCAGCTACATAGAACTCTGTTTCTGTCCAGCCAAAGTAATTGTACTCACTGTTCCTTTCTGGAAAGGAGTGAGGAAGATACCTTTCTTGGGGAGGCTGACTGCCTGATGTTCCTACTGTTCACATCCAGGGTCGTTTTCACATTTTGCATTTTTGTGCATGTCGGGATATGGGTTTCTGTCTTATCCCATTTGCTGTCTGTTTTTCAGAGGTTCTCCACAATTTCGTGTCTGTTGAAAATGCCCCTTATTTTCCAGGACTCATTGAAAAAGAAAAAATATGTACCATACACATTATTCATATTTCTATATATTATCATTTCTAAGGATTTATGGCAGAAGAGGGGGCTGTAGCATGTATTCAGTCTTCCATCTTCATTTAGTCCTTGTCTGCTTCCATAGCTTTTGTGGATATTTGCATATTGACTATTTATTTAGATATCTACCAGTTACAATACTGTGAGCTCCTTCGGTGAGACTGGAATGTAAAGGTACTTAATAAACATTTGTTGGATTAATCCAAATTTTATTGCAGATGGAATTAAAAACTAGAACTCAAGTAGTCTAATGCTTACCATATACCTTTCTTCAAGTGCAGCATTAAGTTCTCAGAACTTTCTCTATCTAAGTTATCTCAATGTTTTCTTTTAATGTTTCCTTAGAAGATGTGTCTTTTTTGTTTGTTTGTTTGTTTGTTTTGAGAAGGAGTCTCACTCTGTGGTTCAGGCTGGAGTGCGGTGGCATCATCTCAGCTCACTGCAACCTCTGCCTCCCGAGTTCAAGCAATTCTCCTGCCTCAGCCTCCCGAGTAGCTGGGATTACAGGTGCCCACCAGCACGCCTGGCTAGTTTTGGTAATTTTAGTAGAGATGCGGTTTCATCGTGTTGGACAGGCTGGCCTCAAACTCCTTACCTCAAGTGATCCGCCTGCCTTGGCCTCCCAAAGTGCTGGGGTTACAGGTATGAGCCACTGCGCCCAGCAAGACATGTTTTTAAGTCTATTAATTTTTGCTACTTTTTTTCTTTAAAACCATTTCTTTTAAATTATGGAGTTCAAAGTAGAACACAGAGCTCTAACAAATGCTAACTGTTGCTTTTTGTTTTCTGTGAGTTATATGACTGAATATGGACAGAGGATTCAATATTTTCTCCAGTATTGCCCCAACCAATTTGGGGGAGGTATTAATTTTTAAAAATTATTTTCTCATTTCTCTCTTCTAGATGAATACTAAAATAGGAAAAGGGTGGTTGGATGTTGGAAATTTTTTAATTGCTGATGAATGTTTTCAAGCTGCTGAGGTGGTAAGTTACCATTGATTTTTAGCTGAGGCAATTATTAGTAGTAATATCTGTGGTTATTCTCATTGTTACATTGTACTGTGGTTTTACTTTCCAGAGTCTGGAGCAATTATACACGAAATTAATTCAGAGGAGCTCCCCTGAGACTGACTTGACCTTGGAGAAGATGGCTGTTGAGAAAGACCACTTCAGAGTGCTTTCTTACCAAGCAGAGTCAGTAGGTATCATGGGCACCAGGGCCTTCCAGTGGGGCATTTTCCTTGTGTAAATGTAAAAGTGATGATATATAGCCTATTGGAAGAAAGTCAGATGTCACCGCCTTTTATAGGCATTAATTTGACCTTTTTATCTCTGTCATATCTGAAGGTGATGTTAGTAATGCTGATTGAAATCTGTGGGGTGGCTAAGGGTGAGAAGACTAATATACAGCTAAACATCATTTTCAACCCCTGCATGTAACATCTGTCATTTATTTATGGCAGCAATCCCTACTTAAAACACCTGTCTCTGTGACTCTCTCTTACATTCACAGTCTGCCTAAAATATTTGCCTGAAAAGAGCCTTTTCATTTGCCGTTGTTCTGAGTTGTCTATTGATGCTTTCTAAAAGCCTACTGCGATCACACACCATTTAAAGTTATACTTTACCTCTGTTTATCTTGTGGGTTTCCTCCTTTTGTCATTATACACTTAGGTGTGCATTTGAGCTATGATGAGTTTGCTTTCTGTTATTACACAATTTTGGAAATGAAAAATCCCCAGCTGGGCATGGTGGCTCATGCCTGTAATCCCAGCACTTTAGGAGGCTGAAGTGGAAAGATTGCTTGAGCCCAGGAATTGGAAACCAACCTGGACAGCATAGTGAGACCCCATCTCTACCAAAAAATAAAAGCAAAAAATTAACTAGGCTTCAAGGTGTGCACCTGTAGTCCTGGCTATTAGGGAGGCTGAGGCGGAAGGATCCCTTTGAGCCTGGGAGTCTGAGGTTACAGTGAGCTATGATTATGCCTCTGCACTCCAGCCTGGGTGACAGAACTAGACTCTGTCTCAAAAAACAAACAAAACAACAACAAAAAAGAAAAGTCCTTTTTTAAATTTTTTAACGTATTTATTGAGATATAAGTCGTATACCATAAAATTCACCCATTTACACTGTATAATTCAGTAATTTAGTATATTCACAGAATTGTGCAATGTGCACCACAAGCTATGTTTAAAACATAATTGTCACCCCGAAAAGAAACCCCCATCAACATTAGCACTCATTCCTCATTGCTTCTGACCCTAGCTCTAGCAACCATAATTTATTTTCTGTCTCTATAAATATACCTATTTTGGACATTTCATATTAATAGAATCATGCAATAAGTGGTCTTTTGTGATTAGCTTCTTTCACTTAGCATAATTGCTTTAAAGGTTCATCAGTGTTATTGCATGTTTCACTGTATGAATATGCCGTGTTTTGTTTATCTATTCATCTATTGATGAATATTTAAGTTGTTTCCAATTTTTGGGTATTGTGAATAATTCTAATGTGAACATTCATGTACAGTGTGTGTACATATGTTTTTAATTTTCTTTGGTATATAGCTAGGAGTGGAATTGCTGCGTAGCATGGTAACTGTAACTCTGTGTTTAACCTTTTGGGAAACTGCCAGAATGTTTTCCATAGTGACTGAACTATTTTACACTCCCTCCAGTAATATATGAGGGCTTCAACTTCTCTACATCTGAAAGTTTTATAGTTTTAGCATTTACACTTAGATCTATGGTCCATTTTAAGTAAATTTTCAGGTATGATGGGAAGTAGGGGTCTAACTTCATTCTTTTGTATGTGACTATCCAATTGTGCCAGTACCATTTGTTGAGAAAACTATTCTTTCCTCATACTGAATGACCTTTATACCTTTGTCAAAAATCAATTTATCATAAATGTGAGGGTTTATTTCTGGAGTCTTAATTCTATTCCATTAATCTATATGTCTAGCCTTATGCTGGTACCACACTGTCTTGATTACTGTAGCTATGTAGTAAGTTTTGAAATTGGGAATTGCATGTCTTCCAGTTTTGTTCTTTTTTTTTTTTTTTTTCGCTCATGTTACCCAGGCTGGAGTGCAATGGCGCGATCTCGGCTCACCGCAACCTCCGCCTCCTGGGTTCAGGCAATTCTCCTGCCTCAGCCTGCTGAGTAGCTGGGATTACAGGCACTCACCACCATGCCCAGCTAATTTTTTGTATTTTTAGTAGAGACGGGGTTTCACCATGTTGACCAGGATGGTCTCGATCTCTTGACCTCGTGATCCACCCGCCTCGGCCTCCCAAAGTGCTGGGATTACAGGCTTGAGCCACCGCGCCCGGCCAGTTTTGTTCTTTTTAAAGATTGTTTGGATGTTTCTGGGCTTCTTACATTTCCATATGAGTGTTAGGATCAGGTTGTCAATTTGTGCACAGAAGCCAGCTGGAATTTTGATAGGGATAGCATTGAATTCGTGTACAATTTGAGGGATATTGTTATCTTAAGGATACTGTGTTCTAATCCGTGAACATGGGATGTCTTTTCATTTATTTAGGTTTTGTTTAATTTTCTCTTATTTATCTTTTTTTTTTTTTGTAGAGATGAGGTTTTGCTTTGTTGCCCAGGCTGGTATCAAACTCCTGGCCTCAAGCATTCCTCTCGCCTTGGCCTCTCAAAGTTCTGGGATTATAGGTGTGAGCCACCATGCCTGGCCAGACCTATGTGTGGTATTTTTGTTGTTGTTGTTTTAGAGATGGAATCTTTTTCTCTTGCCCAGGCTGGAATAATGTGGCCCAATCATAGTTCACTGCAGCCTTAACCTCCTGGGCTCAAGGGATCCTCCTTCCTCAGCCTCCTGAGTAGGTAGGACCATGGGCGCCATACCACTGTGCCTGGCTAATTAAAAAACTTTTTTTTTGGTAGAGATAGGGTTTTTACTATGTTGTCTAGTCTGACCTTAAACTCCTGAGCTCAAGTGGTCCTCCCACCTTGGCTTCCCAAAGTGCTGCAATTACAGGCATGAGCCTCTGCGAATGAGCAGACCTATGTATTTTAATTGTCCACAAGCTCAAACTTAAATCAGTGATGTGATGTAGCTGCAAAAAAAGGCAGCACAATCCTTAGGCATGTTAATAGATAAATAGTGTCTACATCTTAATTCACATTTTGAGTATTGTGATAACTGCTAGGTATCACACTTTAAAATCACTGGGCTAGTGTAGAAAATCTATCATATGAAAAGTATTTGTAGAATAAAGTGATGTCTGTCTTGGAAAAAGAAGACAGTAAAAATGATAGCTCTCTTTGAATATTTTAAGGACTATTATATTAAAGGGAAATTAAACTCCACAGGATAGAATGAAGAACAATGGGTAGAAATCACAGGAAGACAGATTTTGGCTTAATGTAAGGAGTAACCTTTTATCAGTCATAGTAATCTTGTAATGGAATAGCCTTCCTGCAAGAATTGTAAGTCTGTTTTCACTGGAAAACTGAAGCAAAGGTGTGAATATCCTAATAATTATACATTGCAGATGGAATTCCTTCATTTGGTAGGAAATTTGACTACTGTGACCCTTACATCCCTTTTTTAACACCAAGATCCTATGATTTCAGAAAGTCTTGTAGCACTTCAGTGTTGCTGACTGCAACCTCCGCCTCCCAGGCTGAATTGATTCTCCTGCCTCAGCCTCCCGAGTGGCTGAGACTACAGGTGTGCGCCACAATGCCTAGCTAATTTTTGTCTTTTTAGTAGAAATGGGGTTTTTTTTTAGTAGAAATGTTGGCCAGGCTGGTCTCGAACTGCTGACCTCATGTGACCTGCCCACTTCGGCCTCCCTAAGTGCTGAGATTACAGGCGTGAGCCACTGCACTCAGCTGCCATTTACATTCTTACCAGCAATGTATGAGAGATCTCATTTCTTTGCATCCTTGCCAGCATTTGGTATTGTGACCAATTTTTTATTGTAGCTATCCTAATAGATGTATAGTAATATCTCATTGTGGTTTTAATTTGCATTTCTCTAATGGCTAATGATGTTTAATATCTTTTCATTTACTTATTTGCCATCTGTATCTCCCTTTAGGCAAAATGTGTGTCATTTTTCTTGTCCATTTTCTATTTGTATTGATAGTTTACTGGTGAATTTACAGAATTATTTGTATATTCTTGATGTGATTCCCTTGTCAGATAAATATTCAGGAACATTGTCTCTTCGTAGCTTGTCTTTTTGTCCTTTTTAATAGGGTCACTGAATATAGTTTTGATAAAGTCCGATTTATTGATTTTTTTAAATTTTATTTTATGGATCATGCTTTCAGTGTCATGTCTCAGAAAGTTGCACATAGCCTTAGGTCTCTTAAATTTCTATTTGAATTTTAAGATCAGCATGTCAATTTCTTCAAAAAAAAAAAAAAAGCCAACTGGAATTTTAATGGAATTGGATTAAATTTGTAGATCAACTTGGGGAGTAGGGACAGAGTCTCACTCTATTGCCCAGGCTGGAGTACACTGGTGGGATCTCAGCTCACTGCAGCCTCTGCTTCTCGTGTTCAAGCAATTCTCCTGCCTCAGCCTCCCAAGTAGCTGGGATTACAGGCACATGCCACCATGCCTAGCTACTTTTTTATTTTTAGTAGAGACAGGGTTTTGCCATGTTGGTCAGGCTGGTCTCAAACTCCTGGCCTCAGGTGATCAGCCCACCTTGGCCTCCCAAAGTGCTGGGATTACAGGGGTGAGCCACTGTGCCCAGCCCTTATGGTAATTTTGACTGCCCAGATTGTACACATTTTTGAATACTGACTTACAGTTTATGAAATGCTTTTACATCTGTGATCTCATTTGATCCTCATAAGATCAATCCTATATTGTAAACATTACTATACCTATTTTATAGTTAAGAAAATAGAGCCTCAAAGAGATTGTGACTTGCCTAAGTTCACTGAGCCAAGAAGTGGAAAAGCTGGAAATGCAAAGCCCATATTCTTTTCACTACATCAGTATAGGCAGGGCATCACTCCAGACCTAATGAATCACAATCTCCAAGTGGTGAGAGCTGGGCATGTGATTTTCAGAAAGCTCTGCTGGTGAGTCTGATGCTCACAGAAGGTTGCTACAGCACTGTATCATGCTTCCTCTTCTGTAAGACTTCTTTTACTTTAAATCTTTTAACTTTTGGGCTTGAAATATTGATTTCTAGTCATAGGAAGATGAATAAATTTTCAGAACTAGCCTGAATTGTTAGAACTTTGATTTCTTTAAGATAAAATCTGAGTAATGATAGACACTTTATGGGTTGTTTGAACATTAAAGTCTCATATTGTTTTATATAAGAACAGACAGCAGCATTCATCCTCTGATATGTTTGTCACTGAGCATTTCTCTTTTATAAGATTTTCTCCACTTTAAATAATCAATTAATCATCAAATATTCATAGAATATAGTGTAGACAGGAATGTTATTTTCTAATCTCTATGTAGTGATTTGGCTTATTGAGGCACTTGTGTTAGCAATTTATTTTGCCCTTTAATAATATCTAGTATTAAAGCCTTATAAGAGTATCTACTCAGCAAGATGTCAGGCTTACTATTCAGCAGGTAGAGGAGAAAACTAGCTGACATCTTACGTTGTTTATATTTTCTTCTCTCTACTCAATTCTTTTATTATTTAAAGCACAATAATATTTTATACCACATAAAGAAGAGAAGAAAATACCAAATGTAGTACTTTATAAGATTATTTTCTTGTATGTATCCGTGGTTTTATTTTCTTTTTTTTTTTTTAATGCGTTTTCTTTTTTTTTTTTTTTTTTTGATGAGAGTCTCGCTCTGTCACCCAGGCTGGAGTGCAGTGGTGCAAACTCAGCTCACTGCAACCTCTGCCTCTGGAGTAGCTGGTATTATAGGTGCCCCCCATCATGCCCAGCTATTTTTTTTTTTTTTAGTAGAGACAGGGTTTCACCATGTTGGTGTCGAACTCCTTACCTCAGGTGATCCACCCACCTTGGCCTCCCAAAGTGCCCACTCATTCAGTATCAACTCTGTGTCACCAAAAATTCTTACCACTTATTCCTTTGTATTTTGAGCAAGGTATCATGTTTAGCTCGAACAACTAGCATTGCTAAGAATATTAGAAAACAAAATAAGATTTTTAAACACTAGTTAAGATATGCTAAAAATATGAGCCACCGTGCCTGGTTAAACTAAGTTCTTAAATGGCTGAAACAAGCCTCTTCCACAAGTGCTAAAGTAATGTGTGATCGATGTTTTCATTCATTTGGGGGTGTTCAGTCATAGAATGGTAGAACTGAAAGGAACCCTACAGATAGTCTAGTACAGTCTCCTCACTTTATGGATGAGGAAACAATCTGTGAGAGCTTAAGGCTCAAAGTTATACATAATAAATGGCAGAGTGGCTCTTCTGGCTTCATGATGAGATTGTACTAAGCTGCTTTTCTTTTTACTTAATTTTTTTTTAAAGAGATGGGATTTTGCTCTCATCTGTGGCAGGAGTAGACTGGTATCTTCTTAGCTTACTGCAGCTTCGAACTCCTGGACTTGAGCAATTATCCCCCCTTAGCCTCCAGAGTAGCTGGGACTATAGGTGTGTGCCACCATGTCTGGCTAATTGATAAACTGTTTTTCGCAGTGGATATATGTAACAGTTCAGACTGTGAGGTTACTGTGAGCTTGTTTTAAGACAAAGACTGCTGTTTAACTTAATTCCTCTAATATAGAGGTGAATACGAGAGGTTTTCAAATTACAGAAGCATCTAGTAGACCTTGCATTATGTCATAATATAATAACATAAGGTAGTACAACCAGTTTTTGCATTTCCAGAAAAAGTAAATAACTCCTGTTCATTTAGTATCAACTCTGTGTCACCAAAGATTCTTACCACTTATTCCTCTGTATTCTGAGCAAGCTATCATGTTTAGCTTGAATAATTAGCATTGCTAAAAATATTAGAAAACAAAATAAGACTTTTAAGCACTAGTTAAAATATGCTAAAATTGACTTAGAGACAACTTTGTCATTTCATTTTAACCGATTATTGACATTCTTTGTCTTTTTCAGGCAGTTTTTCAAGGGGATTTTCAAAGAGCATCTATGTGTGTACTGCAATGTAAAGATATGTTGGTGAAGCTCCCTGAAATGGTGAGTGAAATCTGCATTCTCCAAGAGTTTAAAAATATGCTATTTCAAGTTCCAGGAAAAATCATTACTACTTCATGTAACCTTTCAGAGATTCTATTTGAGATCTGTTCCACTTAAGTAACTGATCATTGAAATAGTTTGCTTCCTTTGTTCTTTACCAGAAAGGGCATTTGAAAAAGCTATGTGGAATATTTCTCTTTTTTTCTTTTTTCTTTTCTTTTCTTTTTAAAACTCTGTCTTCACTCTGTCGCCCAGGCTGGAGTGCAGTGGTGTGATCTCGGCTCACTGCAACCTCCACCTCCTGGGTTCAAGTGATCCTCATGCCTCTGCCTCCTGAGTAGCTGGAATTACAGGCCTGTGCTACATTTTGTATTTTTAGTAGAGATGGGGTTTCACCACGTTGGCCAGGCTGGTCTTGAATTCCTGGCCTCAAGTGATCCGCCCACTTTCGCCTCCCAAAGTGCTGAGATTACAGGCATGAGCCACCATACCTGGCCGATATGGAATATTTCTTAAAATTTTCTTTGCTTTGTCTATTTTTGTCAAACCATTTTGATAACATTTGTTCCATATTTTATGTTATACAACAAAAGAAAGAAAAAAATGAGTTTGTCTGCTGACAAGGTTGATAGTAGTTAATCATGTTATTGCTGTAGTATTTTTCTACACTGGGTTTGGAGATATGAGAGATTTGATAGGATAAAGCCTGTATCCCAGACTGGAGCTCATGAAAACTCCTAATTACATAGTTTTTTACTTTTTCATTTTATCTTCCCTTTCCATTCTTTCTCTCCTATTTCGGTGCCTATGGCTACTTCAGTCTTTACTATCACAGAGGAATTAATAATGGAGATATAGTTGGATATTAGGGAGAATGTTTCCAGTATTACATACATCGTATTTATTTGTGAGATTGGTCTTTTTCCCCAAATTGGGTGTCATAATGTAGAACTTAATTCAGTAAACATTTATATGTTGCCTGTTATGTGTCACATCAGACATTCTTCTAGGCTTTAAAAACTTGTAAAACAATTTCATATTTATAGAAAAGTTATAAGAATAGTACAAAGAACTCCTGTATACACTTTGCCTAGAAACTTAATTCAAGTTTTCCAATAATGTCCTATATAGCAAATGGTTTCAATCTAGAATTATACATAGAGGAACTCCAGTCTCCTTCAATCTGGAAATCTGGAACACTTCATTCTTGCCTTGTGGTTCATGATCTTGGCCGTTTTGAAGATTATAGATCATTCATTTTGTAGCATGTGATTTAATATGGGTTTAGCCAAAGTTTCCTCATGATTAGAACAGGTTATGAATTTGGGGCCAGAAAATCACAGAAAAGATTCTATGTTCTACTAGCTTCTTATTGGGGGGTATACAGGATTGATTTATACTGATTTATACTGTTATTGGTGGTGCTAGCCTTGTTCTCTTGATTAAGATCATATCTTCCAGGTTTTTTCATCATAAACCTATGCATTTCCCCTTTTGTTATTCATAAGTATTTTGTGAGTGATACACTGAAACTATGGAAAATCTAATTTCTCATTCTACTTTCACCATCTTTATTCTTTTTTCCTCCATTTTTTTTTTTTTTGAGACGGAGTTTCACTCTTGTTACCCAGGCTGGAGTGCAATGGCGCGATCTCAGCTCACTGCAACCTCTGCCTCCTGGGTTCAGGCAATTCTCCTGCCTCAGCCTCCTGAGTAGCTGGGATTACAGGCACGCACCACCATGCCCAGCTAATTTTTTGTATTTTTAGTAGAGACGGGGTTTCACCATGTTGACCAGGATGGTCTCGATCTCTTGACCTCGTGATCCACCCGCCTCGGCCTCCCAAAGTGCTGGGATTACAGGCTTGAGCCACCGCACCCGGCCCTTTCCTCCATTTTTCTAGGTTTATTGGGGTATAATTGACAAAATTTATGTATACTTATGGTATATAACATGATATTTTGATAATTAAACATTGTGAAAAGATCACCACAATCAAGCCAATTTATATATTCATCAGCTCACAGTTTTTTTTTCTTTTTGTGGAAAAACATTTAAGATCTACTTTCTTAGCCATTTTCAAGTATACAATACATTATTATAATATTAACTATAGTCCCTGTGCTGTACAGTAGAGCCCCATAACTTATACATATGGCCTAAATAAAATTTTGTATCCCCTCCCCCTTTGTTTGACGAGACAGAGCATTGCTCTGTCACCAGACTGGAGTGCAGTGGCATGATCCTGGCTCACTGCAGCCTCAACTTCCTGGGCTAAAGTGATCCTCCTACCTCAGCCTCCTGAGTAGCTGGAACTACAGGCACATGCCACCAAGGCTCTCTGGTTGTTTTATTTTTTGTAGAGATGGGGGTCTCACTATGTTGCCCAGGCTGATCTTGAACTCCTGGGCTCAGGCAATCCTCTTGTCTCAGTCTCCCAAAGTACTAGGATTATAGATGGGAGCCACTGTGCCTGGACACTTTGTACCCTTTGACCAATATCTCCTAATCTGTTCCCCAACCCCCTGGCAACCACCTTTCTACTCTCTACATCTATGAACTCAGCTCTTTCAGAATCTACATATAAGTGAAATCATGCAGTATTTGTCTTTCTGAGGCTGGCTTATTTCACTTAGTTTAATGTCTTCCAGGTTCATCGGTGTTATCACAAATGACAGGATTTCCTTCTTTTTTATGGCCCGCTAGTATATATAAGCACAACATTTTCTTTACCCATTCATCCCTTGTTGGACTCTTAGGTTGATTCCATAGCTTGGCTATTGTAAATAATGCTGCAGTGAACAAGGTGTTGCAGATATCTTTTAAAGATACTTATTTTATTTCCTTTACATATATATCCAGAAGTGGGATTACTCGATCATATGGTAGTTATATTTTTAATTTTTAAAGGAACCTCTATACTGTTTTCCATAATGGGTATACTAATTTACATTCCCACCAACAGTACAAAGGTTTCCTTTTCTCCTTGCCCTTGCCAACACTTATCATTGTCTTTTTGATAATAGACATTCTAACAGATGTGAAGTGATATATCTCATTGTGATTTTAATTTATATTTTCCTGATGGTTAGTGATGTTAAGCATTTTTTCATATACCTGTTGCTGATTTATATGTCTTCCTTAGAGAACTATCTAATTAGGTCTTTTGCCCATTTTTTTCATTAGGTTATTTGTTTACTTGCTATTGAAGTGTTTGAGGTACTTGTATATTTTGGAGATAAACTCTTTATCAGATGTATGATTTGTGGACATTTTCTCCTGTTCCTTAGGTTGTCTCTTCACTCGGTTGATTATTTCTTTTGCTGTGCAGAAGCATTTTAGTTTGATACAATCCCATTTGTCTATTTTTGCTTTTGTCACCTATGGGGGTCATATCCAAAAAAAAAATCATTGACCAGGGGTCTATCTCTCTCTTTACCTCCAATAATTGTTTTATATATCTGAGTGCCCCAGTGTTGGGTGCATATGCATGTAAAATTGTTATATCTTCTTGCTGAATTGTCCCCTTTACCTTTATATAGTGACCTTTTTTCTCTCTTCTTAAAGTTTTTGTCTTGAAATCCATTTTGTCTGATGTAAGTATAAGTACTCCTGCTCTTTTGTGGTTTCCACTGCCATGGAGTATCTTTTTCTATCCTTTTACTTTCAATCTATGTGTATTTTCATAGGGGAGGAAGTGTATTTCTTGTAGGCAAGAGATCATTGGGTCATTTTTTTAAAATCCATTCAGCCATTCTGTGTTCTTTGGAGAGTTTAGTCTATTTACATTAAATGCTATTACTGATATGTAAGGACTTATTCCTGCCACTTTGTTATTTGTTTTCTGATTGCTTTTGGTTTTCCAGTTTTTATTCTATTCTATTTCTTTCTTTTCTGTCTTCCTTTCAGTGAAGGTGATTTTCACTGGTGGTGTGATTTAATTTCTTGCTTTTTATTTTTTGTGTATTGATTGTTTGTTTTTCAGTTTCAGGTTACCATGAGGCTTGCAAATGCTATCTTGTAACCCATTATTTTAAAGCGATGACAGTGTAACACTGATTGTATTAACAAAGAGCCAAACACATACACACACACACACGCGCACGCGCGCACACACACACACACACACACACACACACACACACGCTCTCCCTAATAAAAACTCTACACTTTAATTTTGTTCCCCTGATTTTTAATTTTTTTAATGTCTTTTTGTTTTTGTACTATGTTTTGAAAAGTTGTTGTTACTATTTCTGGTTGGTTCATCATTTATTCTTTCTACTTAAGAGAAGTTTGTACTCCACAATTTCAGTGTGATACCATTTTGTCTTTTTCTGTGTGCTTACTTTTTTTTTTTTTGAGATGGAGTATTGCTCTGTCGCCCAGGCTGGAGCGCAGTGGCCTGATCTAGGCTCACTGCAACCTCCGCCTCCTCGGTTTAAGCAATTCTCCTGCCTCAGCCTTCCGAGTAGCTGGGACGACAGGCACATGCCACCATGCCTGGCTAATTTTTGTATTTTTAGTAGAGACGGGGTTTCACCATATTGGTCAGGCTGGTCTTGAACTCCTGATCTCAGGCGATCCACCCACCTCAGCCTCCCAAAGTGCTGGAATTACAGGTGTGAGCCATCGTGCCCGGCTGTGTGCTTACTATTACCAGTGAGTTTTGTACCTTCACATGATTTCTTCTTGCTCATTAACATCCTTTTCTTTCAGATTGAACAACTCCCTTTAGCATTTCTTGTAGGACAGGTCTGGCATCAATGAAATACCTCAGCTTTTGTTTGTCTGGGAAAGTCTTTATTTCTCCCTCATGTTTGAAGGATACTTTCTACTGGTTATACTATCCTAGGGTAAACTTTTTTTTTCCTTCAGCACTTTAAATATGTCATGCCTCTCTTTCCTGGCCTGTAAAATTTCCACTGATAAGTCAGCTGCCAAATGTATTGAAGTTCCATTGTATGTGATTTTTTTTCTTTTCTTTTATTGTTTTTGGGAT